CCCCATCCATCCAACCAACCAACCAAATAAATAAGGGGATCCAAGGTGGCTCACAGTATTAAAAGAACAGAATTAAAAACACAGTAAGATATGCATATATTTAAAAAACTGAACTATAAAACTGATTAAAATACAATAATTTAAAACTGTTAAAATGTTAAAAACTTTCTTAACTAAAAAATGAACTCAGTCATAATTATTAAAAGCCTGCCTCAAAAGGTGGATTTTCAGTTATTCGTGGAAAGATAAAAGGGATGGGACCAACCTGACTTCCCAAAGAAGGAGTTGAAACACAGACAAAGATGTTGTGTGAGCAAAATAACAATAATGGTGTTGCAGAGCATTTTAAGCTCTGGGATTTGAGGAAGTGGTTAAATGTTCTTCTGTTAACCCATATAGATATTGTATAAAATTTGGAACAAAATAGAATCCTCTAGAATTCCGTACACCAACTGCTATGATGTGGAACTACATGGTCTCTGTAACACAAAGCATGTTTAAATTGGTCAGAGATCCATATTGATTTGTCTTCTGAAAAGCTACTGAATTATTTTAGATAAAATAAATAATATTTGTTTAAAGAATGTTTGTTTGAAAAAGGAGAAAGAGGGTTTCAGTCTCTTCTCCACACTTCCTGAAGAGAGGTGGGTTAGTATCTAAGTGCTTGAGAACCATTGAACTAGATGCCATACTTTGTTTCTAAGGGCACTTTTAATGTTTGCTTAACAGTTCTGCTGCCACTTAACCTTATGTTGTTTTAGTGCAATCTTATGACTGTCTAGTCACTCGTAAGTCCTCCTGAGTTCAATGAGTTTTATTTGTAAATGATTAGCTCTTGCTGTTTTAATATCTGTGTATAGGTCTAGATTATAGACCATGGTACAATGTCAAAAACAAATAGTTTTACCCCATCTGTAATTCATAAATGAGTGGAATAAATGCTAGTTATTTTGTGATATCAGTCTCGGTCCAAATAATGGTGGGTTCATATCCTTATGTAAGATGGAACAGACACATTGCACGAATCAGGATATGCATAGCGCCCATCACATAATGCCTCATACACAGACATGTTTGCCTGCTTCACCACCATCCATGGTGGATTCTGAAACTCTAATATTTTAATGTTTGATCTCAACTTTGTTTTTGAGATTCTGTACTGTTTAATTACTGTACATTAAATTGGTTTTGCCTAAATAACTTTGAACATTGGCGCACGTTGCAAGGTTGGAATATAAGCAATCACTGCTTATCTCATCTGTAATTACTGTATGCTGAAATGTCTATACCATTTTGCTAGTGTTGCTGCTTATAATCATATTCATGTAATTCTTATATACTAAAATTTACATCTCTCTCTCTTTTGATTTGCTTGACTGGAACCTCTTCTTCCGGATGACAACAGGTGAAACTAGTATCTTCTGTAGTCTGCCTTTGGGCTTTTTTATAATGAGTAGCCTCTTAATGTTAATCGGAGCAAAGTACATCTCAGGTTAGTTGATTTTTGAACTGCTGGTTTGTTTTACTCCTTTATCAGTTTGTAAGATAAGGATCAAATATCTGCCAGTTCTAAAGAAATTTATTGAATAAGCTTATCTGGCATCTTTAACCCTTATGCAGGTAGACATGATTTTTAATATCCCAGGAGTCATGTGTTATTGCAGAAGTCATACAAAACCACCCTACAAGGTAGCCATTATACAACATTCTCTCCTGCAGAGTAGTAAACAGTGTTAAATATTTTCAGCCACCTCTCATGTCCATATTTTAATAAACAAAAAAAAAGTCTAGGATGAAAATTATCCCACCAGATCTATTGAATTCTCCCAGTGGAGTACTATACAATGGCTGGAATCTTACTAGTGCACTCGTAAGGTTTATGTATCTTGCCATGGCTAAGTGTGGCTAATTGATGAAATGCCAAGATGCATCTCAGATGCACAATCCCATACATGACCAGGAACATGGCTGAGTATGCCACAACACATAATCAATTAGTCACATTTATGGGAATTTTAACAGGATTTTGGTCAGTATAATGGGACAAAAAAACCATTCTCATGTTTTGTGATCACAATTTGATGCAGAAAAGGTGATTGAATGCCCAGATGACAAACTCCTCGGCTTAAGCAGAGAGGAAGTGGAAGACAGCTTTAACCTGTGACCCTATTAAGATAGGAAATGCCCTGTTCATGAAGGAAGAAACTCTGTATCTTTCAAAGTGACTCTGAGAGTGATCAGTGCACATTTCAAGACTAAGACACTGTGCTACCTGATTAAAGCTACTTAGAATCAGAAGACTTTTTAGAGCATTTATTGTGTTTAGTTGAAGAGCAATCCCTAGAAATTTCTCCAAGTAAACATGGAAGCAATGGCTTTTTAAGGGGCAGAAAACACAGGGGAATGAGGACAGCACACAAATACCGAGCCACTTCTGTTCAGGAAGGACCAAGTAAAGATATTAATGTTATAAGAGGCAGGAGTAGAGGAGTCAGTGCAAACACCTACAGATAGTTTCACAGACTATGTTTCGTTTCATTTAGTCGTTTAGTCGTGTCCGACTCTTCGTGACCCCATGGACCAGAGCACGCCAGGCCCTCCTATCTTCCACTGCTTCCCGTAGTTGTGTCAATTTCATGCTGGTTGCTTCGCAGACACTGTTCAGCCATCTCATCCTCTGTCGTCAGTACACAATACATTCTGTGAGAAGCAGATAGGAGTTCCTTAGCTCTATTTCTTTCTTTCTTTTTTTCTTTTTTTAAAAAAATCTTTCAGGGCAATTCAGAATGATGTATGGGGTTGCCCTTTGGTGAACTAATTGGCACATTTTGGTTCCAGAGACCAGCTTGTTTACAGTGTGATAACAACTGTCATTGAACTATATATCTACACCAGATGACATATGAGGGGAAAAATCAGTTTTCACCTGTTTAGGTATGAGAGAAAACCTTCTAGCCAAAGATCCAATAGATGGTTAGCATTATTTGCCAGAAAGAGCCATTCATCCTCTCTGCCCTTTTGTTTTGGGAAAACCAGCAGCTGATACACTGCATGGGAGAAACATGCTTCCAGGAGCTGTCAAAGTGACATGCCCTGGTTTTCTCTAGGGCTTCTGGCAAATAGAACAACCCTTCTCTGGGAGAAATTTGAGCTGACATTATTATGTTATGGTGTACAAAATTATCCCACAACACAATTAATGCTAGATTTTGTTGCAAATATATTTTAGAACGCTGTTATTCCTTCAGGTTTTATCCTGATTTCTTACTCTGAAAAGATCAAAATAAATTTTTTATTGTTCCGAGTTGAAAATAATAGTGGTAGAATTTTTAAGACACAGAATTTGTGTTGGTTTCCCTTCTTACAGCAAATGGACTGTCAACTATTCAAGCATTTCTGTTCATATGATCATGTGTTGTGTTTTATGGCTCTGGTTTTTAGGATATTTTGAAATATGTTTGCTTCTGCACTCACAAATGATCCTGTGGACATGAGGCATTTTCAAACCCTGCAGTATGTGAACATTCTCACAGAGTGAGAAAATAGCTTAGAAATCACTTATTGCAGGCTTTTTTATCTGCCTGGATGAGAGCTAATTTATGCAAAATGTATAGCACAATCACATCCTGATTAACTATGTGAAATCACACTCTTTAACAAAAAAATTTCTTAGCATGATTGCAGTTCCTGAAATCCAGTTTGTATAGGTGTGCTGTATAAAAGGTGATGTCATCATCACACATTTCATTTTAGTTTTAATTAAATGTGTCTGCTCCTTCAGGTTCTGAGGCTCTGTGGGGAAACCCTTGGGAGAGGGAGGGGGTAAGCCTTTGATCAGAAGATCACCGCCAGCAGTCCTACAACCATCACCAGCAATTCAGCAATGACATTCTGATTTTTAAAGCTTCCAAGCCCCATCCAGAGGTTCCCAAAGGTTTCCCTAGGGCAAAAGAGGGCTATAGGAAGCCTCAGAAGCTGAAGAAGGGGATAGGCAGTTTTAAATTTAATTAAAATGAAAATTAAAGCTGCAGGGTAGTGACATCATCACCATTTATATAAGGCAGGTGCATCAACTAGATTTCAGCCACTGTGACAATTGAGCTGACTGTGTGAAGACAGTTGATATTGTGTACAGAAGGGACGGAATTCTTAGAGCTTGTGCTCACAGCAAATTAGACAGATTATCTTAATCTTGGGTGAATAGATTCAAAAATTGTATAGGTAGACTGAGATACATAGAATGGAATGAATTGTGTCATTATGTAACAGGAAATCCTGCTGCTATTTCAAGCATGCAGTACTTTCTCTCTGCTTTTTTCACATTTTATGCAAGCTTGTAAATAACCGCGTGCCAGTGTCACATACTGCTCTAGTTTATAGCCCAGAGAAACCATTAAAAAGCATGTTATACTTCCCTCCTAAGCCAGAGATGTTTGATCTGTGTGTGTGCATAAGGGGAGAGAAAGCTTAATTGCTGTGGGGAACTAACTAACTTAATGTGATTGTACTTGCAGTAAAAATGGAATATTTTGCATTTCTCTTCTTCCAACTTTTAAAATGTTTCAGATACAAGATGTTATTGAAATGAATTATGCAACGTATTTGGAAAGTTTTTATGATGTAGAAACTTGTGATAATTCCAATCCAAGAGCTAGTTCTTAAACAATAATGCATGGCCCAAGACTGTTATTTCAAATACTAGTTGTTATTCACATATAGTACACTAATGACTAAATTTAAAAAGTCATTGTTTCTCTAATTTTTCTCTAAAACATTGTTTCTCTAATTTTTATTTTAAAGTGTGGACTTTGTTGTCAAAAGAAAGTAATTATTGAAGTTTATTCATTTTCTAATTGCCTGTAAAATAACAGCAACTGCTCACTGAAGGCCTTTCCTCTACTGGGTTTTTGAATATCTGTTTACAATTTTGCATGCAGCACACCTCTATGCATGTTCCATTAAAATGGCTAGAGATTATCAGTATCGTGTACTGCAGTACATAGGTTCTTTGGATGGAGGTGTGTGTCTAGCGATTACACTTAGGAGCAGATAGTGCTTTTATAGATTTGCAGCAAGTTGTCTGAAGATTTCTTTCCTGTGAAGTAGAAAACCTGCAGAACACTTAGGTATTTGTGCACTTCCTTTAGCTTGCTTGTTTGGTACAAATTACATTGTTGTCCAGGATACCTTTGTCAGAGTTTATGCATTCTTTATTGCCATCTGTTTTAATTTCCCTAATTGTGTATTAATTTATTTTTATTGTGTTTTTAATATTCCTTATATTGTTGTTAGCTGTCCAGAGTGGCCTGGTTGCCAGATGGTGCAGGATATAAATGCAAATAATAAATAAATAAATTCTAGTGAACCTTTTGCAGGGGAAGATTCTGCTGGATATTGCTCACCACCACCAATTGAATCTAATTGTTTGATAGTGTGTTTTGCACCACTATTAATGGCAGAAATTCCATGACTAAGCCCTAATGTGCTGAACAGAACAGTGTGACTGATAAAGTTACCGCCTTACTCTGCAGAGATAGTTTTAAAATGGAGAACATGCCTATATACAGAGAAATCTTTGTATCACAATTTTTACTCAGACATATCAATTACAAAAGCACTAACTCCAATTACTGGTCTTTATATGATAAAATAAGTGTCAATTTACATATTTTGGATGGGTTTTTTTATTCATAAAGCTTATATCTCATCCTTCTAATGTTTACTTACAATTAGATTGATTAAAACAATTAGAATCAGTAATGAAATCTAATTAGAAAAAAAACCCCAAAACAATATAATAAAAGCAGACAGATAGTACAAATGAACTTTAAACAGTAGCAAATGTGCCTAACGAAGCCAGTCTCCACAACAGGGCAAAATGATACAAAATAAGATACTGAATCACTTTTGATATATCCAATGAGAGGGTCTTTCTCTTTTCTGTATTATTCATGCTTATACCATAGCTTGGAAACAAAATAGGCCTCTCCCTCAGATCATAAGGCATGGGCAAGGTCATTTGGGAAAACATCTAAATTATCTTTGGAATAATCATGGCACTTTGACTTGTTTCCAGAAACAGAGTGATAGCCAGCCGAGCCCTTGCAGGATGGGTTCAATATAATCCTTTAATGTGTGCATTTTATGATTGCCTAGTGACTGCAGTTATTGTAACCCATGCTCTTTCCACATAAGAGCATCATAAGTATTGCATTAAACTTCATCTGTTTAATGGAGAGGAAATAACAATTATGTTCTTCTTTTTAAGATAACTGTAAATGAGGCTCCTCAGTGAATTTCCAGGATATTGCAACATCTGAGGAGAGTTTGGTGCTCTTTTCCAGTGAAGATGGCATTGTTTTCACTCAGTTACTGTTGAAATAACTCATGGCAATTTAGTGGATGGATTCAATAAGAAACACAGAAGACATTGCTGCCATCTGCTCCCTGTTGAAACGGATATGAGAGAGAAACCTTTGTTAGCTTCCTCAC